AAAAAAGTTAAGACTCATCTGGAAAAGAAATTTGAGTGGCTGGAGGAACAGCACAGTGGGGAGGGCATTTGCCTTGCACGCCGCCGACCCGGGTTCGATTCCCAGCATCCCATACAGTCCCCCGAGCACCGCCAGTAGTAATTCCTGAGTGCAGAGCCAGGAGTAACCCCGAACATTGCTGGTTGTGACCCCCCAAAAAAAATCCTGTTTGAGATGTGCTTGGCATTCTTAGAGAAGCACCACAGTGTAGGGGTCACTCCGCACCATCCCAGGCTGGCAGGCAGGATGACCTCATCTCTTTTCCCTTTGCACTCACGGGAAGAAGCCTGTGGCCGTGACACAGACTGCGTGCCAGGGAGGCGTGTGAAGCAGCCCTGAGCTGCTGGTCCGATCCCAGCAGACGTCAGGAGAGACAGTCAAGGGTTCACTGTGAGTTGGTGGGAACATCCAGCCCAAGTCCCTCTGCACCTAAGTGGAGCCCAGAAAGGAGGGCGGCAGGGTGGCCACTGCTGGGGCCACCACACACAGGCTCCCAGGTGAGGTGTGACAAGACCCCAGAGGAAACGCTTTGATTCCCTGACTCATCGCTCGCCCCAGAGCACCTGGCCCTCCGCCCGCCCCCAAAGGGAGCCTTGTAGAGGAACTGAACGTTCATTCTTGGCACCTATTTGGAAATGATCCACTGAGCTGACAGGAAAAAAAGGCAAGAAAGGCAAATGAACTACTTTGCTGAGAGAATTCAGTCATTCTTCAAAGATGAGATGCAATATTCTGGGTTTAGACAACAAGGTTGATAAGAACGCTTATCAATCAGCAAACCAATCCTTCCATAAATATCCTGATAGGATTTCAACATACCAAGTGTGAAGGACTGGAGAGCAAGAACAGCAAGCAGGGCATTTGCCTTGCACGCCAATCCAGGTCTATCCCCGGTACCCCATATGGTCCCCCGAGCACTGCTAGGAGTAATCTCTGAGTGCAGAGCCAGGAGTAACCCCTGAGCACTGCCAGAGGTGGCTCCCAAACAAAAATTTAAAAAAAATACTAATAGTACAAGGTTAAGGCTAAAATATTGGGTGGGGTGATGTGAGCATAGAGAGAGAGCACAAGGTGAAAGCACCTGGCTTGCATGCAGCAAACCCCAGTTCAATTCCTGGCACTACATATCGTCCCCTATCCCGTGCTCAATCTCTGAAAGCAAGCGGCCTCCGAGCAGGGTCCCAATCCAGAGCAGCACCCACAAGACAGGGAAGGGCTCTCATCGCTCTCGGAAGGAGAGCATCTGCCTTGCAAGTACCACTCTGGGTTGGATCCCTGAACTGCCCAAAAATAGTGTTTAAAAAACATCAAATAACACTGTGAGAAGCCGACCCTAAAGAGCCCTTCAGGAGACAGGCAGAAATCTCGTCATCTATTTTGTTGTCGTGCCAGGAATCAAATCCCAGGCCCCAAGGAGAGCTAGGGCTCCCCCCAGCCCCTCTCCGAGGATGGCATAGGTCTCTGGGCTCCCCCTGGGGCGCCCCTTCCAGGACAGAGCCCTGCCTGGTCGCTGCAGGCCTCCAGAGGCTTCCCCCAGGAACGGGCACTTTCTCGGCTGGCGCCCTTCCACCAATCCCTGTGTTCCTGTCTCCGAGGCCCGTCCTGGCCATCTGCAGCCAGCCTCCGGTTCAGGTGCCACCTGCCACAGCAAAGTGTGGTGTGTCCCAGTCACAATCCAGCTAACACCCGCTATCAGCTCCACCTGGCCGGGCCGCCCCGTCTCCACATCGGGGTCTCAACGCCCAGCTCCTGAAAGCGCTTTCCATGGGAAACTCCTTTTTATCTGTCTGTGGGGCACACCCGCAATGCTCAAGGTTTACTCCTAGCTGAGCTCAGGAATCACTCAGCACGGGGGGTGGGCACTATGGGGTGCCAGGAACTGAACCTGGGTCAGCCACATGCAAGGCAACCTAATGGCTGTACGACCACCCAGGAACACAGGGAAGGTGTTCCACACCGGGCAGAGACACTCGATGCCACAACGGGTACTCCAGCGGCAGCTGGCCGGCGCAGGGATAGACATCTTGGGGGTGGGGGGAGAGGAAGAGAGGGAGGGAGAGCAAGAGAAGGGGAGAAGGGGAAAGGGGGAAGGGAGAGAGCGAGAAAGAGCAAGAGGGGGGAGAAAGGGAGAGGGAGAGACAGGGAGACAGAGCACGAGGGAGAGAGGGAGAACAAGAGGGAGAAAGAGCGAGAGAGAGGGTAAGTGAGAGCGTGTTCCAGGAAGGACGGCAGGAGGGCCCCCAGAAGCCCGAGATGACAGTGGCCACAGAGGACCATCGCCCAGGGAAAGAATCCTGGGAACTAGCCCCAGCCTACCCTGCAAGAGTGGAGAAAACTGAGGCTCACTTCAGAAGAAAGGGTTGGACTCCAAGAGCAATTCCCTCCATTTCTAGGCCAAGGAGCCCCCACCCCCACCCCCACGCCCAGCCCCCAGACACTCAGGAGAGAAGGACTGGGGGCTCCCGGCCTAAGGGCAGCATTTCCCGGTGTGGACAGGAGCCAGGGGAAACAGGGAAGATGCAAGTCCAGGTGTGAGCCGGGCGGTGCTTCACCTGTGCATCATCTTCAAATCAAGCATTCAATATCTCAGGCACGTTTTCTTCAGGCAGAGAGGGCAAAGACAGACCGGAATGACAGACAGCAGGGAGCGCGCTGGCCTTGCATGCAGCTGACCCGGGTTCGATCCCTGCCACCCCATTCAGTCCCCCAAGCACAGAGCCAGTGGTAAGCCCAGAGCACCCTGAGGCTGCCCCAACAACAACAAGGAAAGAAAGGGTCCCGAGTAAGCGGGGGCCCATTCCATGAGCGGGCAGCTTCCCTCCAGCCCTTCCCATATTCTGGCTCACACGAACAGCCTGAAGTCGTCAAACCAAATCAAAGCCACACAAATAAGAATCACAAGGAAAACCTGTAAGCTTTGTTCTTCCTCCAGAAGGCGCGCAGGGCCCAAGCCTGTCCCTCTGCACGGAGCTGGAGACAAAGGGCGACCACTGCAGGCCACGCTTTCCTTTCTGGAGCAAAGCCACGCGATCACTAACAAACAGCTAATGGCCACCATTCAACAGCAATAATGGCCCCATGACTTCATCCACCAGTCTGCTACCAAATGGGAAAGAACTTAACAGATTTTTCTTTCGCCTAAGAAAACGTGAAAGGGTGGGGGCTAAGATTCACATACACCTCTCCCAGAAGGGTCACAAACATCTACAAGGTTAGACAGGATAACTGCTTCTAATTACAAAACCGGACAAAAGGGTCTACAGGTGTGACAGTTTTAGCAGGGAAATTAGCAAAAACAATCACCGGGTCATAGCAACAGTACAGCAGGTGGGGTGTCTGCCTTGCACGAAGCAAACCCTGATATCCCATAGGGTCTCCAGAGCCCTGACAGAAGTGATCCCTGAGCACAGAGTCAGGAGTCAGCCCTGAGCACTGCTGGGTGTGACCCCACAAACACACCAGATAAAAAAACACCAGTTCTATCCAGGTCTCTGATAAACGTCAATGACAACAGGTACAGTTCCCTAGGAAATATTTTTAAAATAGACCTCAAATCCCTAGTGTCACTTTAATTTATTGATGAAGGGCTAAGCATACAATAGGGTAAACAGAACAAGGCATGAAGCTCCCCAAATACATTTCCTGGGGAAGTCTCAGTTTCTCTGAAAGTGAAACTGACATGCTCCTGAGTGGGGTTCCTGGTGTGGGCAGCGCACTCCATCACAGGAACAGGCTGTCAAGCTCCTACCCAAGACCAGGCCGGCAGAGAAGCTGTCAGCTGGGGTCCTTGTGCTCTGATTTCTGCTCTCACGGAAAACAGGCATGTAGGTCCCACTGAAATCTAAGCCCGCTGCCTGCTTCCTGACAAGAGGATGCCTCTGAGGATGTGCAAAGAAAAAAACCTGACCCATGAAATGGCCTTGCGAAGAATACACAGGTTCTCCTGTCCCTCCAGGGCTCTTCCATCACACCTCCCATGAGGGCAACTTGCACGACCTCTACCTCCGGAAGGTGAGGTGTGAGTTAAGACTCAGGTCCAGGACTCACTTTCCTACAGACTGTCCTACCACATCTCCACTTTCTTCCTCTTGACAAAATACTACTCATTTCATTCCGGGCAATAAATACCCGCATGGCCAACTCCCAACAGCCAGACCAAGGCTGGGGGGCGGGGAGGAGGAATGTCGGATTTGGGACCCTGCAGCAGGGGCCCACATTTCCCCACAGATTTCCCCCATTTAGGAATGACACACTACTCGGTAACACCCACCGCTGGAAAGTAAATCACACAATCAAAAGGGCATGCTGCCCGGGTCGATTGGGTCAACACCTAATTAGCAGGGGCAGCGGAAAGCAGGCCCGGGTAAACAGTGGGCCTCAAAATGCGCTGCAGAACACCAGGATGCGCGTGTTTTAAGGGGGAGGGGGGGTTCTTTTCTGCAATTAAGGCTCTCAGGCCGGGTCAGCACTCAAGCTTCTTTCCAGAAAATCCAAACGGCACGTAAAACAGCAAGCGGACCCGTTCTGGAGGATTCTGTACGCTCTCTCCACAAAGAATAAAATAAGCGAGGTTCTTTCTTTACCGCGTGCTGTCACCGACTTAGAACCACCCCCCGAAACGCAGAGCCGGCTCACTTCCCACCCCCCGGGATCCAGCGCGAAGGCAGAATAACGCCAGGATCTTCGGAAGATGGAAAGCAAGGCTGCTCGTTTTTTGCGGGGAGACGGCGGTCTCGAAAGGAAACCCACGCGGGTCTCTGAACTCCACGCGCCCGGCCAATCTGCTCCCGTGTTCCTACCCCCGCCCCCCACGGCCCCGGGCTCCCCGAAACAGCAGCTGGATCAACAGGCGCGCACGGCGGCCACACAAAGGCGCCGCGGCGCACGCAGCACGCCCACCCGCCAGCATCCCCCGGCGCCCGGGGGTCGCGCGCCCCGGCCGGCCAGCGCCCGCGGCTTACCTTGAGGATGTCCCCGCGTTTGAAGCTCAGCTCGTCGTCCGCCGTGGCTTTGAAGTCATACTTGGCGATGGCTTCCATCCTGCGCGCCGCGCGGGGCCCGCAGCCCGAAGCGGGGGGGAGGGCGGCTTCCCTGCACCAGCGGCCCGGCGCTCCAGGACACACCAGGCCAGCCTGGATCGGAAGAGCGAGCGTTGAGAGACGCGGCCCGGATCGGCGGCAGCCCCGCCCCGCCCTGCCGCGGCCCCAGCCCCCACGCCCCCCCGGCCCCGCCGCCTCGGCCCGCCTCCCTCCCCGCAGGCAGGAGCCGGCGCCCGCTTCCGCTCCGGGCCCGGCCCCGGAGACCGACGGCCCCGCGGGCCAATGGCAGCGGCCGCCCCGCCCCCGCCGCGCACACTTCCTCTTCCGGCGCGGCGGCGCGCAGGAACCGGCGGTCGCACTCGGCCTCCGCCTTTCCTCCCCACTCCCTCGCACGCCTCCCGGGCACGGCAGCCCCAGTTCTTCCATTAAACAGGCCCGTCTCCCCCCGCCTTATTTTTTCCCCCTGAAAGCGCCGGGGCCGCTTTGGAGAGCGAGCAAGGCATGCCTGGGCCCCGAGCAGCGCTGGCTCTTCCTGGGAAACGGACCCGGAGAGGCTCCGCGCCCAGGAGAGCGGACACCGCGGCCTCCCCGGCCGGTGCAGTACAGAGCGCCGCGGGCACCGGGTCCCGCGGTCCCGGCGGGGACCAGGGCAGAGCCTGCAGCTGGGACAGGCTGGGACCCTCTTCCCTGCAGCCGGCCCCAGGAAGGGTCGTCCAAGGGTCAGCGTTCCAGAAACTACCCCTGCGTGATTTCTGCCTCGCCCCAGGAGGTCTGACCGACACGTGAAAGGCACTGCCCGGGTGCGAACACGAGCTGGAGAGGGGCAGGTGCTGTAGAGACTTGGCGATGAATTACCCTCCTAGGTAATTCTTGAGTTGCAGAACTGACAAGTGGAATGTTACTCGGCCATATCCGCAAACACGACAAGCAGGAAAGTAGTGAAGATGAAGGCAAGTGAGAATCACGAAAAAGGAAAGAAATCATCGGGAAGAAGACCTTCTGCCAAAGCGTGAACGCCAGGGGCTGGTGCTATAGCACAGCGGGTAGGGCGTTTGCCTTGCACGCGGCTGACCCGGGTTCAATCCCCAGCATCCCATATGGTCCCCTAGCACTGCCAGTAGTTCCTGAGTGCAGAGCCAGGAGTAACCCCTGTGCAACGCTGGGTGTGACCCAAAAAGCAAAAAAAAAAAAAAAAAGCGTGAATGCCAACACCACTGCAGTTAAACTCCCAAAGCGAACCAGGTGAACGTGCACTGTCCTCAGGCCACCCTGGGTGATCCCAGCATTGCCCGGAACCAGAGGGGCTGGAGCAACAGGCCAGCGGGCAAGACCCTGCCTTGCATGCAGCAGCCGGCTCCAATCTCTGGCGCTCCCTGAGCCCCACCAGAAGGGATCCTCTAGCTCTGGAGTAGAGCCCTGAGCACCATCAGAATATTAAAAAGTGACGAAAATTAGTCTCAGGAGTATTTGCTTCTTATACGTCCTTAAACATCATGGAGGGGGCCAAGGTGCTAGCCTTGGCATTGACTAACCCCAGTTCAGTCTCTGCATAAGGACAGTCCCTTAAGCAAGGCCAGCATGGAACTCCTGAGCACCACCGATGTGGCTTCTATCCCCATCCCCACCAAAAAATGAAACAAAACAAGAAACCTCCTTTACTTACACTCTCTGGAGGCCACACCATGCAGTGCTCAGGACTTAGTCCTGGTTCTGGCCTCAGCGATCAGTCCTAATGGAGCTCGGGCGACCATACATGTTGCCAAAATTTGAATCTGTACGGCAAGCACCCTACCCTCTACTATGGATCTCTCACTCCAGCCCTGGAGTTTTCTGGGTTTTTTTTTTTTAACTCAAACTATGAGAAACAGCAGTTCCCCAACCCCAACAAGCAATCATTCCCCCACCTCTTTTTTAAGTTTTATCTTTGTATTTACTTAAAATTTCCAAATAATATGGTTCTACTTGACTCCTAATTTCTTCCAGCCATTATCTACCACCTGAGAGATGGGCCCAGGCATTCCCCTTTGCCAACTTCCCAGGTTCCCAGGAACAGCAGATTTCTGTCTGATTTATACAATGCATCACACCACACAGCAGCTCCAATACGGCCCTTCCCTGGGCCCCAGCACCAGCAACTGTGCCACCCCACATCTATTTTTAAATGTTCACAAATGTTCGGAGATCTCTGCTACCCACCAGGAGCCCTGTCCATTCCAGGACCCCCAGATCCCTGGTCTGCAGTCACTATGAATCAGTGAGGCTACAGAATGACTGATAGAATCCTTAAAAAAAAAAAAAAAATCAAGAGCAACATTTCTGAAAAACAATTCAATTCATAAGACCCAAACACTGTAACTGAGGAGGTCCACAGCTTAAGCTGTGTCACTCCCAACTGTGACAACTGCTCCCAACACCTGCTGAGGCCATCAGAGACCCCTCCCCCACGTTTCCTAGGGATCCTGTCAAAGATCAACAGGTCTAAAGACCGGGCTTCCCCTGTACAAACATCAAAAACATAAGCACCCGGAAGAGCTAGGACAGCCAGAAGAGTGCTCGCTTGCTGTGCATGTGGCCAGCAGGGTTTGATCTCTGGCATCCCACCAGGTCCCCCAAGACCCAACAGAAGTGATCCCTGAGCAAAGACCCAGGAATAAACCTGGGCACTGCCGGCTGTGGTTCAAAAACTAAAACTAGAAATGCTAACCCGACTAAATACATAAATGCTAACATGGTTACAACATACCTAAACGACAATAATAAAAAATAAGTACATGTATTTTTCCCAAGGGGAGAGAGGATTTCATGAAACTATAGCTACACAGTGAGACTTAGTTTGAGAGAAATACAACAAGCACAACCTGTACTTCTGGAGCCAAATCAAATTGATCATCCAAACAAAAGTGGAAGAAAACTCCGAGAGGTAGGACTGTCAATCTCTTCACAGGACAAAGCTCAGGGGAAGGTCGGAGCAAAGGCAGAGAAAAACTCCACCTCACGTAACTCTACACAGAACTTCGCAGGCAGGCCCACTGTCTGGGTTTTGGCTCTTGTTTTTTATGCACTTGACACCACTCTTCCTTTCTGAAAGGGCCAAGAGTACACCTACCCTACTTCCACACTGCAGCACACCTCCAGCCACTGTACCCTAAAAGTCTGTCTGCTCGGTCTTCTTCCTTCTGACTCCCTTCCTCCCCCAAGACACAGAAAAGAAAATACAGTCGAGCACACAGCACTAAGATTGGCTGCCCCTAAAGAGAAGCGGGCCCAGGTTTAAGAACCCCGAGGCTTACCAGCTACAGTTTTTAAAAAGCCTCAGTTTTGAGGCTGGAGCAATAGCACAGAGGGTAGGGTGTTTGCCTTGCACGTGGCCGACCCGGGTTTGATTCCCAGCATCCCATATGGTTCCCCAAGCACCACCAGGAGTGATTCCTAAGTGCAGAGCCAGGAGAAACCCCTGAGCATCGGCTGGGTGTGACCCAAAAAGCAAAAATAAATAAATAAATAAAAGCCCCAGTTTTCTATCCATAAAATAGGAATGAGGGGTATGCCTCCATAAGCTGGGGCGTGCAAGCCAAAAGCCCAAGTTTGAGTCCAGTACCACTTATGTGGTACCCCCAACACTGCTGGGTGTGGGCCCAAATTACCTATTGAATATTAGGCAATACAGAGAATAACCATCAAGAGCTTTGGACAGGGGCTGAAGCAATAGTACAATGGGTGGGGCATTGGCCTTGTACAAGAACAATCCTGTTTAATTCCTTCCACTCCATATGGTCCCCCAGCCCACCAGGAGTGATCTAAGCTCAGAACCCTGAGCACAGCTGGTCGTGACTTTTTTTGTGGTTTGGTTTGGGGCCATACCTGGTGATGCTCAGAAGTTACTCCAGGTTTTGCACTCAAGAATTACTCCTGGCAGTGCTGGGGGTGAGGGGCAGGGAATCAGGGATCGGGACCATACGGAGTGCTGGGGATAGAACCTGGGTCGGCCACGAGCAAGGTAAGTGCCTTACCCACTGTACTATGGCTCCAGCCCCCTCCATTAGTAACTGTAAAACACATCCCCTGGAGCAAATGAGCTGCTCCGCCTCCTGGATGGATGGCACAGAAGCAGTGATATAAATACAACACGCAACACAGACCAACATTCCAGAGCACAGCAACAGAACATCCTTCTAAAGCACCCAACAACACAGAGGGCCGGGCTCTTAAAAAACAAACCACCGGGCCAGAGACAGCATGGTGGGGATGGCGCTAGCCTTCCGGTCTGACCCTCCAATCCTCAGCGTTGAACATGGTCCCCAGAGACCCACCAGGAGGGATGGGATCTGAGCAGGAGTAAGCCCTGAGCATAGCCAGGCATCACCCAAACAAACAAAAAGCAAATTAAAAACCAAACTGCAGGGGCTGGAACAATAGCACAGCGGGTAGGGCGTTTGCCTTTCACGCGACCAACCCGGGTTCGATTCCCAGCATCCCATATGGTCCCCTGAGCACCGCCAGGGGTGATTCCTGAGTGCAGAGCCAGGAGTAACCCCTGTGTATCGTGACCCAAAAAGCAAAAATAAATAAATAAATAAATAAAAATAAATCAAACTGCAGAGAGGGGCTGGAGCACGCAGGGCTAACCCCTCTTCAATCCTTGATACCGCACAAGATGTCCTCAATTCTCCAGCACTGCTTGAGCAGGCCCAGTAACGTCTCCGTTGGAGACTTTGTTGTTACTGTGTCTGGCATAATCAATACTCTCGGTAGCTTGCCGGGCTCTCCAGCACTGCTGGGTGTGGCAAAGAAAAAAAAAACCCACTGCAGAGAGGCCCCCAGAATGGCCTAAAGCGCAGAGAAACAGCCAGATCTCTGGTACACATGACCGCCCAACCACCACCAGGCCCAGGCCCCTCCCAATGACCCCCCCCTCCAAAACCAGAAAAGATCCAGGATCTAGAACGGAGGTGAGGGGTGCAAGCTCTGCTTTCTCCCGACCACGTGCTCAGCCACACATGCCTCCCCATGTGTACAGTCACCACAGGGCACTGGCTGCTGGCTGACTGAGGGCCACTAGCTGCTCCTGGGTCCCCCTGGATCCTCTCCC